GCGTCCGCGGATAGAGAAAATCAGCGCCATGGTAAGGGATGGGAGGGAGGGGTAGGATGTCAGATGTTGACGCGAGCGCACCTAACTTGTCCTCCTCCCCCTCCCCCTCCCCTCCCCTCCCTCCCCCCCCTCCCCCCCTCCCTCCCTCCCTCCCGCCCGCCCGCCCGCCCGCCCTCCCCTCCTCCTCCTCCTCATCCTTCTCCTCCTGCCTCCTTCTCCTCCTCCTCCTCCTCCTCGAGAACGGGGGATTGTGGGTCCCTGTGGTTCCAAAGCGCGCGCGCGAGGCTTTCGCGCTGAGTTCGCGACTGTTTCTGTGCAAACTCTGCTCTGTGTCGTCCTTCCTCCTCCTCCTCCTCTCTCCTCCTCCTCCTCCGCCTCCTCCTCCTCCTCCTCCTCCTCCTCCTCCTCCTCCCTCTCCCCGTCATCCTATCTCTCTGCCTTTTTTGTTTCTCCTGGCGCCCCCCCACCCCCAGAGAAAAAATAACTCGTTTTTTTTTCTGGGAGAGGGACGCCCGGAGAAACAAAAAGGAATGCGACGTGGCCACATCTGCCCTCCCCCTAGAAGGATTTCTAGTGAACGCCCCCATAAGAAGGATTCACAGTGAAATCCTCGACAAAAGGGTCCCTATCGAAACCCGCCACTGAATGATTCCTACTGAAATCCTCCACATGTGAATTCCTACTGGAACCCTCCACTGAATGATTCCTACTGAAATCCTCGAATGGTAATGGCAATGGCAATGGCAATGGTAATGGTACTGGTAATGACAGTGGTAATGGTAATGGTACTGGTAATGATAATGGTAACGGGGTAGCGAAGCAATGACAATGGCAATGGCAACGGTAATGGTAATGGTGATGGCAATGACAATGGCAATGAGAATGGCAATGACAATAGCAATGGCAATGGTAATGACCATGGCAATGGTAATGGTAAGGGTAAAGGTAAAGGTAGAGGTAAAGGTAATGGTAATGGAAATGGCAATGGCAATGGCAATGGCAGTGGTAACGGTAATGGTAATGGTAATGGGAATGGAAGTGGGAATGGGAACGGGAAAGAGAATGGAAATGATAGTGGTAGTGGTAATGGTAATGGCACTGGTAATGGTAATGGTAATGGGAATGGTAATGGTATTGGGAATAGGAATGAGAATGGGCATTCTAATGGTAATGGCGGTGGCAATTGTGATGGTAATGGTAATGGTTATGGCAATGATAATGGTAATGGTAATGGTAATGGGAATGGGAATGGAAATGGTACTGGCAATGGTAATGGTAGTGGCGAATGGCAATGGCAATGTCAATGGTAATGTCAATGGCAATGGTAATGACAGAAGTAATGGTAATGGTACTGGTAATGGTAACGGTAATGGTAACGGGGTAGCGATTGGCAATGGCAATGACAATGACAATGGCAACAATAATGGTAATGACAATGACAATGGGATTGGCAATGACAATGGCAATGACAATGATAATGGCCATGGCAATGGCAACGGCAATGGTAAGTGTAATGGTAATGGCAATGGTAAAAGGAATGGGAACGGGAATGGGAATGGAATGGGAACGGGAATGGAAATGGTAGTGGTAGTGGTAACGGAAATGGGAATGATAAGGGTACGGGTAAAGGTAAAGGTAGAGGTAACGGTAACGGTAATGGTAATGGAAATGAGAATGGTAATGGTAATGGTCACGGGAATGGCAATGGAAATGGTACTGGGAATGGTAATGGTAGTGGCTAATGGCAATGGCAATGGCAATGCGAATGGTAATGGTAATGACAGAAGTAATGGTAATGGCACTGGTGATGGTAACGGTAATGATAGTGGTAGCGGGGTAGCGATTGACAATGGCAATGACAATGACAATGGCAACGGTAATGGCAATGGCAATGGTAATGGCCATGGCAATGGTACTGTGAATGGGAATGGGAACGGGAATGTGAATGGGAATGGGAATGTGAATGGGAACGGGAATGGGAATGGCAGTGGTAGTGGTAACGGAAATGGGAATGGTAAGGGTAAGGGTACAGGCAAAGGTAGAGGTAATGGTAATGGTAATGGTAATGGCAATGGCAATTGTAATGGTAATGGTAATGGTATTGGGAATGGGAATCGGAATGGTAATGGTACTGGCAATGGTAATGGTAGTGGCGAATGGCAATGGCAATGGTAATGGTAGTGGCGAATGGCAATGGTAATGGTAGTGGCGAATTGCAATGGCAATGGCAACGGCAATGGTAATGGTAATGGAAATGACCGAGGTAATGGTAATGGTACTGGGAATGGTAATGGTGACGGTACCGGTAATGGTAATGGTTATGGCAAATGTAACGGGGTAGCGACTGGCAATGGCAATGGCAACGGCGATGGCAATGGTAATGGTAATGGCAATGGCAATGGCAATGGGAACGGCAATGGCAATGGCAATAGCAATGGCCATGGCAATGGTAATGGTAATGGTCATGGTCATGGTAATGGTAATGGGGATGGGAATGGGAATCGTAGTGGTAATTGGAACGTGAACGGGAATGGAAATGGTAATAGTACTGGTAATGCTAATGACAATGGTAATGGCAATGGTAATGGAAACGGTACTGGCAACGGTAACGGTAACGGCAATGGTGATGGGAATGGGGATTGTAATGGTGATGGCAGCGGTAAGGGTAATGGTAATGGTAATGGTAATGGTAATGGTAATGGTAATGGAAACGGTACTGGCAACGGTAACGGTAACGGCAATGGTGATGGGAATGGGGATTGTAATGGTGATGGCAGCGGTAATGGTAATGGTAATGGTAATGGTAATGGTAATGGTAATGGTAATGGCAATGGTGTTGGTAATGCTAATGGTAATGACAATGATAATGGTAGCGTCTAATGGTAGTGGGAATGGTAATGGTAATGGTAACGGTAATGGTAACGGGGTGGCGACTGGCAATGGAAATACAATGGCAATGGCAACGGCACTGGTAATGGCAATGGCAATGGCAATGACAATGGCAATTGTAATGGCCATGGTAATGGTAATGGTAATGGTACTGGTAAAGGTAAAGATAAAGGTAGGGGTAATGGTAATGATAATGGTAATGGTAGTGTGAATGGGAATGAGGATAGGAATGGTAATGGTAATGGTAATGGTATTGGGAATGGGAATGGGAGAGATTGAGAGAGAGAGAGAGAAAGCGAGAGAGGAAATATCAGAATAAAGATGAGGAGCAACGTGAAATATGGTAAAACATCGTCTGAAACCCACAGGGACTCCACAATCCCCCCCGCCTCTCCTCCTCCCCCTCCTCCTCCTCCTCCTCTGCCTCCTCCTCCTCCTCCTCCTCCTCCTCCTCCTCATCCTCCCCCTCCTCCTCCTCGCTCCTCGCTCCTCGCTCCTCGCTCCTCGCTCCTCGCTCCTCGCTTATCCCTCCTCCTCCTCCTCCTCCTCCTCCTCCTCCCCTCCTCCTCCCCCCTCCTCCTCCCCCTCCTCCTCCCTCCTCCTCCTCCTCCTCCTCCTCCTCCTCCTCCTCCTCCTCCTACTCTTCTCCTCCTCCTCCTCCTCCTCCCTTTCATCCCCTCCCCCCCTCCTCCCCTCCTCCTCCTCCTCCATCCTCCTCCCCCTCTTCCTCCTCTTCCTCCTCTTCCTCCCCCTCCTCCTCCTCCTCCTCCTCCTCCTCCTCCTCCTCCTCCTCTCCCCTCCTCATCCTCATCCTCCCTCCTCTCCCTCCTTCGCCTCTGTTTCGTCCGCCCATTCCTCCTCCTCCTCCTCCTCCTCCTCCTCCTCCTCCTCCTCCTCCTCCCCCTCCTCCTCCTCCTCCTCCTCCTCCTCCTCCTCCTCCTCCTCCTCCTCCTCATCCGCCTCCTCCTCGTCCTCCTCCTCCTCCTCCCGTCTCCTCCTCGTCCCATCCATCCGCCTCCTCCTCCTCCTCCTCCTCCTCTCCTCCTCCTCCTCTCCCGCCTCCTCCTCCTCCTCCTCCGCCTCCCCCTCCCCCTCCTCCTCCTCCTCCTCCTCCTCCTCCTCCTCCTCCTCCTCCTCCTCCTCCCCTCAAGTTCTCGGCCCGAGAGCATTCTGCCCTCGGCCAGCCCTCGCCTCCCCGTGGCACTTGAGGGACACCGAGCGGTACAGTGTGTGCACACGACTGTATCCCTTGGTTGACGAAGAAGGGCATCTACATCCTTCCCTTTTCTCCCCACACACGCATGGCAGCACGCTTATGGAGCCGTTGTCGCGGCTGCGGACAACATGAATGGAACGACGTCCTCGAACGGAATGGCAGATCCTGCTTCAAGTGTCATCGAACTGTACGACTCCATGTCAGCCGCTCCAAGTCTCGAGGAACCACGCGTGTTAGTTTCGAGGATCAGAAGGCACCTCAAGGCGACCCAGGCGTTGCCCCAAAGACCATCCTGAAGTCGAACTCTGCCGTCAGTGAAGTTGATTTCGGAGCCCTGGAGCACCTAGCCAGTGCTATCAAGGTCTCCCACGACCCCGACATCAAGAATGCCTTGCAGCTTGAGTATGCGAAGCTGGAGAGTCTCCGAGTTCGTGAGGCGGCTGATCAGGACACAGCCGCCGAAGCGGTCCGCAAGGCCGACGCGGCCTGGCGCGACGCCGACACCACGCACTCCCAGGCGGTGGCGTAGGTGACGCGCCTGAGAGGACCACTCTCCGCAGCGGAGATCAAGGAGCAGGCGGCAGCGCTGCGCCTCGCCAACGCCGCGGCGGTGAAGCAGGCAGCCGCTCGCCGGCTGGCGCAGGCCGAGGGTGTTGTCCAGGACGGCACCTCCTCCAGGCTGTTTCACCTCTCCTGGGACGAGAGCCTCTTCGCCGACGCCGCAGCTGCTGAGGAGCTCGACGCGGCCGAGAAGCAGCACATGGCCTCGCTTGAGACACAACTCAAGGAGGCCAAGGCCAACTTGTGCAACCGTGAGGAGGAGATTCGTTGCTGGCTTGACCGAGCCGCGGAGCTCCGCAAGGCGATCGAGGATCGCAAGCTGAAGAAGCGCAAGGTGAACGACCAGGGCGAGCCAGCGCCCACCCCTGCCGCTGACCAACCCCCCACAGCTGGGGCAGCTGGGGTAGAACCAGCCACAGCGGCAGCGGCGGCAGCAGGCAGCCCCCCTGATGCAGCAGCCCACGATGCTGCAGTCCAGGCTGAGGCGACGAAGCTCTCGGCCGCCGAGTTCGCCGCCGCCGAGGCCCTGAAGCAGGCTCAGGTGAATGGCAAAGGCCTTGCTCCCGACTCCGCGATGTCCAGGGGCAAGGGTTTTGCTTCAGACAACGCCGAGTGATCGGCTGCGGCGAGGTGCTCGGTTCAGTCTGGATCGCCCGGTACACCCGTGCTGCCGCCATCATCTTCAGGTCCAGCAACCACCTCTACGTCATCTACAGCGCAGGGCATGGAATCGTCCGATGCTCGGGAATCATCACAGATTCGTCAAAAGGATACTTGCACGTCCCTTCTTTATTGGTACTATTACATGCATGAGTCAGAAGATCTGGCAGTACTTGCAGTCTCAGAAGTCACGGTACGACATGTTTGCCTTGGTGGAAACTCATGCTGACCGACCCTCTACGCGGAGATGGGACCAGGCTGCCCGCGCTGCGGGGTTGAGGCTTTTCGCCAATCCTGCTCGTCCGCGAAGGCATGATCATGTGATCGCCCCTGGTCAGGTGGAACGCGCCAACGAGGGTGGCGAGTGGGTCCTCAGCAAGGGCCACATGCAGGTGCATAGCTTTGACGGCCTCTGCTCCACCCAAGTTCTTCGTGCTGGTGAAGGTTGGGACCTTGACGGCATGATGCCTGTCGTCCTACGCCTCTCAGGCTACACGCTCATACTGGTTTGCTTCTACGGGCTGAGCTCCATTGGATTTACTGGCCCAAATTTACTTCGGTACCAGCGCCTAGGCGCATTTTTGCACAGTCTCCAGCTACCCTGGGTGGTTATCGGGGGCTTCAACATCCCTGTGGGGCCCATGCAACAGTCAGAATTTCTTGGTCGTGTCGGTGGGCACCTCCTGGCACCTGCTGTTCAGTACACGTGTGATGCAGGCGTGCACGGCAACATCTTGGATTACGTGCTCTGCAGTTCGGCTGCGATACCCTACGTGCTACAGGCGAGGCCAGTGATGTCCACTGGCTGGAAGACGCACCTGGGGATCGCGCTGGACCTCCGCCAGTCGGGCCGCCAGCTTCTGACCAGGACCCTTGGGCTGGCGCCCAAGCTGCCCCAGCTGGCGAGGCCAGGCAAGGAGCCCGCGCCAGGGTCCAAGTCCAGCCTAGCTCGAGCGCAGCGCAACCTCCCTCGCCAGGAGGCCGCAGGAAAAAGGAATTCCAAATACAGTCAGTTGTTTCGGAGCCTCTCTTAGTGACGCAACCTCCTCGGGCCCAGAGATTTCGCATGCAGGCGAATCCACTGACGTTGGCGACGGGATTGATGTTGCGTCTTTCTGTTATGAAGAGGATCCGTGGGCTGATGAGTTTAATTGCACCCCGTCTGAGTCTCGAGGAGACGCTCGCGCCTCAAGTTTCACAGGGCCCAGTCTTGGTACCGAGGCGACCTCTCCTGCGGCGCGTCCTGAGGACCCTCTGGGGTCCTTGCGGGCGGTGGGTGCCGGTTTGGGGGCGGTCCTGGGGGTGCCTCTTGGGTCTGCTGCGGCTGCGGCCTCTGGGTCGTCAGTGGGCGTGGGCACCAGCCTGGGGGGGGCGTCGTTGGGGGCCCCTCATCGCACCGAGACTGATACGGCCCTCGAGTCCTCCCAGTCACCCAGCCACAGTACACAGTCAGCCATGCCCTCTTATAATATACCCTCTTCTCTTTGGGAGGCAAATCGGGCCCAGGTAGGTTTTGTCCGCTTTCCCCCCTCTTCTCTCCCTCCCTGCATCGAGAAGTCCGCGGACTACCAGATCGACCCCATAGGTTGCCATCTTGGAGCACCACAATGAGGACCCCACCCCGAAGGTTTCTCGGATGTTGGCCCCCAAGTTCGAGGTTCACGAAGTTCATGGAAATTCCAAGTATCGTGAGGCCCTCCTAAGAGACATCGTAGCGAACTGGTGGACACGGTTGCACATTGTCCTGGGGCGCCTACACACACATCGTTCCCGTCGCAACGGACAGCTACAGAGACAGTTGTTGGAGCGTGCTTGTCGTGACCTCGTTGGCGACCATCCTGAGCAGACCCACGCCATCATTCGTGAAGGTCTCGAGCTCAGCTGGTCTGAATGGTTAGCAGCTCTCCGCAGTGTCGATACGCTTCCAGTGGCGAGGATCGCATCTCTGAATATTATTTCGCACCGTCTGTCCTTGCGAAGTCAGCGCAAGGCGACGGCCCCGTCGCTCAAGGAGTTCCGCGAGTGGGCGAGCACCACTCCAGCTCTTGGTACGTTACATCGTTCTGCTCGTCAGGACCCCCTGCCTCCGCTCGAAATCATGAATGAACAAGGTGCGGTTTTGCATCGCCCCAAGGACATCCTGGACTGGAAGTCTCGGAGCTGGAGGGCCTTATGGGCCCCTGAGGTTTAGGATCCTGAGGCGACCCTCAGGGGAGTTCTTGGAGTTGTTCGTGATGCTGTCAGAGACAATCCTGAACTCCTTCCTCCTCTTAGTGTTCATGATATACGGGTTGCTCTTCGGGGGATGGAGAGTAACACTGGTCTGGGGGTGGATCGCATATCTCCTGGGGATCTGGAACGGCTTCCAGACGTGGGGCTTCAGGGGCTCGCCGACCTCCTCCATTGCGTTGAGAACGTCCTCATGTGTCCCGCCCAGGCTCTCCTTGCCATCGCGAAATTGCCCCCGAAGAAAGCCTCGGGGGACCGCATCATAGGTCTCATCGCGATGATCAGACGAGTTTGGAGCAACGCCCGTGAGACCTGGGTCCAACAGTGGACCACCGAGACCGAACCCTCCTGGGACGCTGCTGTGCGTGGGGGGTCTCCGCTGCAGGAGGCTTTCCGTCGGCTTCTGGACGAGGAAACAGCGGCCGCGGTCGGGGCCCCGTATGCGCACAACTTGGTTGACCTTGAGCAATATTATGGCACGATGTTCTGGCTCAAACTTGTGCGTGCTGCAGCCCGCGCGGGGTTCCCTCCGACGGTTCTCGACCTTGAGATACTCCAATGCGCTCGTCCACGCACACTGAACCAGATTTCAGCCTTATCAGAACCTATCGAGGTTACCACGTCCATCGAGCAGGGTCTCAGAGGAGGGACCAGATATGCAAGTCTCATGACCTTCTTCGTGATGAAGAAGATTTGCACGGCGCATCCCAGGATCAGTAATCGTCTCTGGCTCGATGACCTTTCCCAGTCAATCAAAGGTTCTCATAGCCAGATCAGGAAGGACACGGTCAAGTGCCTGTCCGACGCCGCAGTCGCCCTGGAGGCCCAGGGTTCGCGGATTGCCAGCAAGTCGGCTATCGCTTGCAGCCGTCGCCCCGACGCGGTCGCCATCTCAAGGCACTCCGACGGAAAGGTATTATGGCCCGTGAGTTCTCCAGCGCAGCTACCTGGGGATAGATCTCAGCGGTGTCCGCCGTCAGGCAAGGTCACAGCGGCTCAAGAGGATTGCCGAGCATGTACAGCGACATCGGCGAGTTCGACGTTATACGCATACGTTGCATACATATCAGGTTACATCGCGCCTTGCGACCCAAGGCGGACAGGCTGTGGGCAGCTACGGGCATCACTTGCACGGTGGTTTCGGACAGTACCTCACAGCCCATCGGAGGAAGTTAGGTGCGGCATGTCATTCGAGAACACATGGCCGATGCCTCACTTCCCCCTTGGCCATCCGTGCCCCAGGTCAGGACCCAACACAGCGTTTCGCTCGAGGTGCGTTTGCTCTTTGGCCCCAACAGTGGCGTGATTGTCCTCAGATCAGGCCTGCAGCGAAGCAGGCGTGGAGTCGGGTCTATGCCGGGCTCAGCGCCATGGGCCCTTCACGGAGGTCAAGGCATGCACGTGGGCCATTATCAGCTATTCTTACATATAAACTATCCTTCGGATGGGCCCCGCGAGGACCTACTGATTGGCATTTACCACTATCGGGTCACAACTGGCCTTTCCCCGATGAAGGGTTCACAGGCAATCGGTGCCTGGATGCATTCGAGGAGTTTCTGTTAGATGTTGATACAGCATCTATGGCGCCTCATTGGCGCACCGCCTCTGGTTATTCCGATGGTGGGGGCCTGCAGGATGGAGCTGGCGTGTTCTCTCTCAGACGCTTGCTGGATCAGCTGAGTTCATTACATCCAGGCGGCCCTCGACTTGCAGGGCTCCCCCTTGCCATTTGCATTGGAGGCATGCGGGCGAGAGCGAGGCAAGGTCTCATGAAGGCTGGTGGTGCGAGGCCAGAAGGTACCCACGCTGATCCTGCATTGCTGTGCCCTCGTTGCCACGGAGCGGTGGAGGATTCACTGCACCGTGCGTGGTTATGCTCGTGCAATACTGGATCCCCGATATTCGAGGCCAGCAATGATCTTGTCCCCTCGGCCACGTCCCAATGCGAACCCCATGCGTGCTTCTGGCTACGTGGCATGATACCAAGCATGTGGACAGCCACGCCGTGTCCAATTCTATATGATGATTGGGGACCTTTCAGTTTGGATCGTGCTGTGGGACCAGGCTGTATTACCTCCAACCCAGATGAATCTGATATGACTATTTTCGGTGATTCCAGCGGAGGTGCAGATACCGCAGATCCTCGGTTGAGACGGGTTGCACTGGGTGTGTGTATCTTGGAGACCTTCGACCCCCCGCGTGTTGCCTCGTTTGTGACAGGTGGATTGGCGGGGTTACGACAGTCAGTATCCCGAGGTGAACTCAAAGCTTTCTGGCTCGCACTGTGGTGTTGCAGCGGCCCCCTACGGTACGCGACAGACTGCGAGCCAGTGTTTCTTGGGTGGATGTCCAGAAAGTACAGGTCCCTCAGCGGGGTTGATGCAGATATCTGGGCGTGTATTCAGATTTTGATGGCTTCTCGGAATGACAATGACATCCAGGTCG